TCAGCAGGTTATACTCATGCTAGTAGTACTAGTAGTCAGGGCATTAACAATGATGGGCTACAAGGTCCCAGAGGTGAAGGCCTGGAAAATTTTGTTGCTACTACCAATTTTAGTGTGGTTCCGTCGTGGCAAAGATTCAATGATAACAATAGCTACGGTAACAATCAATTGTGCCAAGAGACTCCCTCTGGTTCCACAGGATCTTTGGAAACATACAAGCAAACAAGTCAGAGTAATGATAATTCTAATTGGGCTGGTGGCTTGAGCAATTTTTCTGCTGAGAATAATTTTCAGCTGTTTAATCATGCTCAAGGCTCTGCAAAATGAGCAGCCAACTCAATACCCAACTGGTCATTACAGCAGTCAAAATGCAGCTGCTGTTCCCCAACCCTTATTTTCTAATGCTCACATGTCTCTTATACACCAAGTGAGGGAAGGTCATCTGCAGGTCGGCCTCCTCATGCTTTAGTTACTTTTGGGTTTGGGGGGAAGCTTGTAGTTATGAAAGATAATAATATTGGTGGGTTTTCAGCACTTGGAAGCAAGGTATATTCACTCATTTATGCTTTACTATGTCAAGTTAATGTAGTTCTCATCTTAGATTTGGACCTCATTTGGTGATTTCCCCCTTTTGCAGGATAGTGATGGATGCTTCTTATCTGTGCTCAATTTGATGGAAGTTGTGAGTTTGAGCAAGGATCCATCTTGTTCTGAGACAAGTGCTTATAGCTACTTCCATTCTTTGTAATCAGTCCTTTCCTGGTCCTTTAATGTGGTAATGTGGGAAGCAAAGATATGAATAAATGGATTGATGACAAGATATCAAACAGTGAATCTCTGGAAATGAATTATGGTAAACGTCAAGGTTCGAAATTGCTTCTTTCATTGCTAAAAATTGCTTGTCAACACTATGGAAAACTTCGATCCTTTGGCGGGGATACTGGGCTGAAGGTATATATGTTTTTGAATCCTGAAGTGGCTGATCTATAGTGTTGGAATCTTTTTACCTTTGTTGCATCTGCTATTGATTGTGAACTGTTAGTAGCTCCCACTCCCCCCCCACCCCTCTCTTATTTTGAAGAGTTTACATAATACAAGTTTTTTGCTTCTTTCCTGGCATTCACTGTGAACTACCCAGTGGCTTTTCCCCCTTTGATTGTGCTTATAGCATTTTCCTTTGGGCAATCCGCAACTTTTGAACTGCATGTGAACTGATTTTATTTTGGTATGAATATGTTTACATTTTGGGGCTCATTAGCTATTGATGCATGGTCAGTTTGTAAGTTCTCTCAGTTTGGTATTTGGGAGTTACTGCTTGGCCCTTTTGCACGCTGAAAGAAATGGAGAAGGGATTGCTTGTTTTAGTTCAGGATTAAGTTCAGTATTATTCGGCAACAAATCCCATACCTAATTTTTTTTTTTTTTTGCATTTTTTGTTTGGAAAATTTAACTGGGATAGTTTTAAGTTTGGGTTGTCTTTTCAAATTAAAAGCAATTTTATAGTTTTTAGAAATATTTTCATAGTTGAGGTTGTCTTTTGAAATGGAAATTCAGCATTACAACCGAATCTGCACTTTTTTCCCCTTTTTTTTTTTGTGAGATAATTCATACGCATGGTTATTTAATCTAGTGAGTTTGAGCCAATGTATGATGCCTATTTCTGAGACTTATTGCTGGTGCAATAATTAGGTTATTTAAGAGGGATAAGAGGAGTTAGTTTTTGATGCGGAAGAATTGAGAGTTGAGGTTACAAGATTTCTTTTATTGGCAACTGAACAACTTTGCTGGAGAATGTTATTGTAAAATAGTACATGAGAGTGCTTGAGCAGGGGACAGGAAACTAAAAAAAAGCATTCACCTTTGTAATTTTGTATGTTGTGAGGAGTGTTTTCAACGTAGAAACAAGTGCTTCAAGGTTTAATGCTCTTACTTACAAATTAGATGTTCTGGTTCAGAAGCAAACCTTGTAATTTGAGTGAATTCTTTATTGGCTTTTTATATGGCACTATTTTCTGATATTCAAGTGTTGATTTTGCTCTCTCTCTCTGTGTGTGTGTGTGTGTGTGTGTTATGTGACTACGTGGGTGGGAGGGGGGTGGTTGGTGGGAATTGAGAATAAATGAAGCATGGGTTCCTGATCGGTCACATTACTTGCCGTTCAAATCTTCAGAACTCAGAAATATTTATCAATAAAAGCGTTTTCTTCCATATATGTCAGGAAAATGACCTTCCCGAATCAGCCGTTGCCAAACTCTTCGCATCTTCCAAGAGGAGTGATGGCCAGTTTAATGTTTATAATGCAATTTCTAATTGTTTGATGACCTTGCCTTCTGAAGCACAAATTCAGGTATACTGGACCTTCCTGTATTTCTTTCATTTTATAACTAGTATTATTACTTCTGTGAAAGACTGAAATGGATACTTGCTATTTTAGACTACTGCTACTGAGGTACAAAACCTTCTGATATCTGGTAGAAAGAAGGAGGCTTTGCAACGAGCTCAAGACGGTCACCTCTGGGGATTTGCTCTAATTCTTGCCCGAGAACTTGGGGATCAGGTTTGTACTTGTATACTTCTCATCTTCTCTTATCAGATCAGTCTAGGCTCCCTGGCTACTTTGTTTAATGCATTTAATTAGTTGATTATTGGTATAATTTGCAGCTTTATGCTGATACCGTGAAGAAAATGGCAGTTAGCCAGTTAGTGGTTGGCTCACCTTTGAGAACTTTGTGCCTTTTGATAGCAAGAAAACCTGAAGAGGTTTTCTGTAACAGCACGATGCCTGCTAATGACGTGTATGAAGCAGTAAATATGTTGCCACAGTCTATGCAGGTACATAACTTTGCTTCTTATTGCTTCATAACACTGGGAAAAATAATTGAATTTTACGTATTGATAAATCGTTGTAAAGAATTGACATCATTAGTTTAGGGTAGTTAAGAGGTTCAGTAAGGGTTAGGACTGATGTCTAGTTGCACTTTCCAACCCGCTATTTGTTTTTTATATGATTTTGTTACGTCAAACAGACTTCACAAATGCTAGGTAGTACTCTAGAGTCGAATGGACCTAAACTAAACAATTTGATCAAACGGACTGAATAGTTTACTCAACTAGAAACGCTCAGGCGATCTCAAACAACATACATAAATTTAAATTGGCACCCTTCGAATCTATACATAGAAAATAAACCCCTAATTCGTAAAATTATTTAAATCCTATGGCTGCCCTTTTCCTTCCTCCCCCCCCCCCTAACTTTCATGGCAGCCTCTTCTTCCTTCCCAATCCCATATCCTTTCATTGAACCCCCTCCCCACAATTGTATTTGCCTTAGCCTTTCTTTCACACACCTTTCTTACCTGTATCTTACCCAACCTTCAAAGCTCTTCAAACCCAGCGGTTTGAAACTTTGAGTTGTTCAGTTCCTGATTCCTCTAAAATACCCCTTCAACTCTTTTCCTGATCACACCTCTTTACCGGCCTAAAACAAAAAGCCCTAGTCTCTATTAAGAGATGAATTTCAAACTGTTTAGAGTGGTTCCAGATTATGTAATTCAATAGATTCCATTAACTGCCAACTAGAAGTCTAAAAGCATTTTTAGATGAAAGGTACTTGTGAAGTTGTGAGAATTATAGAAAATAAATTAATTCTAGCTATAGTAAAATAGGTAAAGTAAATTAATGTTGTACTATTTGTTGAAGAATTCAATAGTCCTGTCATCCAACATTAATTTAGCTAAGTTTACAAACATTATTAATATACTACTTATATATCAAGACAATTATTACATTGATGTATAAATTATTTGATATGATTATTGTCCATTGCCAAAGGAAAATCAATTTCCAGAAATATTATCAATTGGGAAAATTAGATAACTTTTTTTCGTGCAAACAGCAAGGTTTCTGGGTTGCTTCAACTTAAGGGCAATACTTATACTGTTATACATACAGGGGAAAGGGGGTCTATGAGGAGGGGGTTGCTAAAATAGGATGGTGAGGAGGAGAGTTGTGGAAGGGGATGGAATTGTGGGAGGACGAGAAGGGGTTTCCATAGTTCCATGGGTTTGGAGGAGGGAGAACGAAGAGACTTCGTTGGAAAGAGGTTATTGGATTTGATATCTTGCTTTCACTTTGTCTGAGTTTTTACCATATAGTCCTCCGACCTTAAATAATCTTCCTATTACCTAACTTACGTTAGGACATGCATTTTAAATTTTAGTGGGGTTAGGATTAAAATGTGAGCCGACCCACATTTATTGGATTACGTCTTTGATTGATTGATAGGATTAAAATGTGAAAGGGGTTCTTCTCACATGGGTATCCTTAAAAGATAACATGAAGATTATTTATGGGCATTGGCAGCGGGAGCATTTTGTATATTTTGATTATTTTTCCTATTTAAAGAGAATTGAATTGTAAGAACTGTCAATAGTACTGGGAAATTATGTTGAATGTCCCATAAATGTTTGATTTAGCTTTGGTGATGCTTACTTGAGGTAGTTACAATATCTTTTATTAAACGTTGAAATTTTAGTATGCTAAGCAGAATGCAGGTTTTAGCATGCTGGAGAACTGGGAGGAAAATTTGGCTGTAATAACTGCAAATAGAACTGAGAATGATCATCTTGTGATTATCCATCTTGGAGATTGTCTACTGAAGGAAAAACATGATGTATGTCTTCCACTTTATTTTGGGCAGCAGCTGTTGGCTGTTAAGTATTGTTTATTTTTTTTGTTTGCAACTTCAAAATTGCCATTTCCATCCATTAGTCTACAGTTGTAGAAAAGTTAGAAGATTTATCAGCTTCATTCTTATATGAGTCCAATTGTATAGGTTACTGCTGCACATATCTGCTACTTGGTTGCAGAGGCTGGATTTGAGCAGTATTCAGATAGTGCAAGATTGTGTCTCATTGGTGCAGACCACTGGAACTTCCCAAGGACGTATGCTAGTCCTGAGGCAATTCAGGTGTTATTTTAGTTTCTTGTAGTTCCTTTACAAGTTACTTCGGCTTTTCTATGCATGCAGTTAGACTTTTATTGTGGTGTTTCTACTTGCTAGAGAACTCTGCATTTATTTATGCCTTAAATCGGGGATAAATTGTCCTTTGTATTTTTTTATATTACTTTAAATTTTATCGTGTGTCATAGTTTATCACATTTTGCGTACTACTTTAGCTAGTTGAATAACTGTTACCTAAGTTACTATCTTATGATTTTCACCCTGACCATCAATGTATAGATCCCTTCTATAATTTTTTTTTGTTTTTGAACGTACTGCTTTCATGCTTTGAACCTGTTGGAATAGTTTGCTTATAGTAGCTCTCTGCCCTTAATAATCTAGGCTGTTTTTTTTTTTCTTATGCACCATCCTTTCACTATCCATCATATAGATCTATGCCTCCCCATTAAATTTTTTATTTTCTTTTGGAGCAAAATATGTAGTGATAGAAATGATCTTGAAGATTATGTTTGGTTTTTGGTTGTTACTGCAGATGACAGAGCTTTATGAATATGCAAAGGTTCTTGGGAATTCTCAGTTTCTCCTGCTTCAACTGCAGCCATACAAACTTATATATGCGCACATACTGGCTGAGGTTGGAAGGATTTCGGATTCATTAAAGTATGTATATGAGCCTTTTAGTTTAATTGTTGAAGACATTTGTCCTTTGATTTTTTTTTTTTTTAAGATGATGGCATAATTCAGATACTGTCAAGCTGTTTACAAATCTCTTAAATTGGACGATCACCGGAGGCAGATACATTGAAACAGTTGTTGTCATCTCTTGAAGAGAGGATTAGGACTCACCAGCAGGTTTGACCTCAACTTTTCTTTTTGCTAAGGAGTTGTGGTGCAATTTCTCTAACCTTTTTTTTTTTTTTTGGTAACCTTTTCAGAGTGGATATGCAGGTAACTTAGCTCCAGCAAAGATAGTGGGTAAATTGCTGAACTTTATTGATAATACTGCTCATCGTGTTGTTGGAGGACTTCCGCCACCTGGTCCTTCGTCTTTAACACAAAGTAGTTATCAAGGCAGTGAAAATCAATTTCAGACACTGGGCCCTAAGGTGACTGGTAGTCAATCAATCATGGGTGTCTCATCACTGACACCATTAGCATCCACGAATGTAACGGGCAGTCAATCAACCATGGGTCTGTCGTCACTGACTCCATCAGCATCCATGGAGCCCATAAGCCAGTGGGCAGTAGATGAAAGTAAAATGACATTGCAAACTAGAAGCATTTCTGAGCCAGATATTGGTAAAACTAAGCCGGTATAGTCACATGCTCGTGTACTTTTATTGTACTTCCTAATCCCTTGAGACACACACACACACACACACACACACGGTAGTTGTTAACCTTTTATTTTTCAAATTTGATATGAAATAGGATCAGGTTGATTCTTCAAATGAAGCAACTTCTTCCAGTACAGTGGTAAAACAATCTGGTTCAGCAGGAACATCTCGCTTTGGTCGTTTTAACTTTGGTGCTCAGATCTTGCAAAAGACTGTTGGATTGGTCTTAAAGCCTCTTCAAGGCCGCCAGGTAAGACAATTTATATTTATGTTTAGATTTCTTCCGTACCTGCACAAAATATATGAAATATCTGTATCTTACTGATTGGTTATGCTTATTTTATGAAAGGCTAAGTTGGGGGACACAAATAAATTCTATTACGACGAAAAGCTAAAGAGGTGGGTGGAGGAAGGTGCTGAACCAACTCCTGAAGAATCTGCTCTGCCACCACCACCGACTGCTGCCTTCCAAAATGGAAGGTCAGACTATAACTTGAAGAATGCTTTGAATGATGGAATGCATGCCATTAATGGTGATCCACCTAGTAGTAGTTCAACCCCTGAAAGCAGCCCTGCTATACCATCTATGCCTAGCTCAAATCAATTTTCAGCACGCAGTCGGATGGGTGTACGATCAAGGTATGTATGAATTATTTATCTCTTGATTTTCGTCCTCTCTAGAGTCCCTCATCTCTGTTGGTACTCTATAATAAACTTATGAAGTGATTGGAATATTTTGCTGGGGTTGTGATCTGATTCAGTTACCCTGTCTGGTTGCATTATCAATCATATTTTTTTATCCCTCCTCCACCCTCAGTGTTTCGGATGGACTGAATGATTTTAAGGGAAAGAAGCACTCCCCTTGTTCGTATAGATTTCATTACTAAATTTTAAGGCTTGAATGACATCTACCTCCACTTTGCTGCTGCAAATAGCAGTTTTGTGAGCTTTTTTTTTTTTGGAGGTGGGGAGGGGATTGTTGTTATTCTCTATAATGTGTTAATCTTTCTAAAAGTGAAGTTTGTATATATTTTTCAGTAGTGAATTTTTACTCTGTATAGGTATGTGGATACCTTCAACAAGGGTGGCGGGGCCTCTACAAATTTGTTCCAGGCACCATCTGTACCATCAGCTAAACCTGCTAATCTCACTGGCACCAAGTTTTTCATTCCCATGGCTGCACCGACAAATGAACAGCCTTCAGGCACTGATTCTGGAAGCGGAAATGAAATTTCTCTAAGTGGAGAAAATTCTTCTAGTGATCCTTTCCAAAACCTAGCACCTGCACCCATTGGAACAATGCAGAGGTTTTCTAGTGTTGATACCTTACCTAGCAAGGGTGCAATGGACAGTGGGATAAGCTCTCTTGCACCTCAATCTCGTCGTACAGCTTCATGGAGTGCAGTTCAAAGCGATACATTCTCTCCGCCTTCAACAAGTGAGATTAAAGCTTCCCCACTTTCGTCTATGCCTGGTGATCAGTTGCTGGGTAATCTGCACATGGATAGAGACAATTCTGGGGATGACCTCCAGGAGGTTGAACTTTGAACTGGGCTGCTGTAAATATCAAGTTTTGCATTTTATAATTAGTATGAAAAACTCGATTAGAAATTATCAAGGCCAAAGCTACCGAAGCCCAGCGAAGTGGAGCTTCAAGTTCTAGATACAGAAACTTCCTTTTTCTTCACTCTTTGCCATCTGCAAATATGTCAGAAATTTGATAATCTTATTATTGTACTAATTACTAATTAGAGGTAGGATGTTGTAGCCGTTAGATGGACATACTACATGGGCAAAAATGAGTTGGAGCACCTTGTACAGTTCCATTTTGTTAGGTTCATTTGAAATGTACTATAGTGAACAGTTAAAAGGTGGATAGAAGGGAAAGATGTCAAGGCGAGATTCAATAATGTAACGAAATTTTTCATGTTTCATATTGCTGCAAATAATTGACTTCATCACAAACTTTTAAATAAGGTAGGCGGATACAAATATGGTACGAAAGTGCAAATAATATTAAGTTAACCTGATTTGACCTGATTTGAATTACTCTGATATCCAATGATAAATAAATGCAAATAAAAAGAATTGGTAACTATCTAAGGTAATAAACAATAGTAGTGTTTAACGGTTCCAATCTTGTTTTGATTGTTGGTAACTATGGTTACTATCTTAGGATATATAAAACAAGATTTGATCTCTCATTCTGTTTTTTTTATGTTATGCTCAAAATAAAAGATTAAATTATACAGGCCAATTTGCATGACTGTATATGTCATATTTTTGCCCATCTCTCTAAAGCCCCACTTTAATATGTACTTCGAATTTTTTGTAAATTGGATAATGTCTTTAAAATTATGAGGAACAGCGCGTAATGTAGCACATAACATATCCATAAACAATTGACGACCTCAACTGTGTCAAATACATTTACTCCGAACTTATTTACAAGATAAGAAAATGTTAAACTATGAAGTCTTAATTGTAAATTTCACCACAAGCAAAACTGGTACAAGGAGCTATTTCTTCTTAGTCAGAAAATACATTTAAAAGGCTGAGGCAGGATCCGCAGTCCCAGAAGAGCCTTCCACCATACTCATTTGTCTTCTTAGCTTAACAATATGAGCTTGTACCTATTACAAGGTGTCATAATTTTTTGTAAAAAAATATACTATTAATTGTTAATCAGAAGGTTTGAAGCATGATAAATACACCAAAATGTATAGCTTCTTCAACATAAGTGGTTACATCATACAAGTTTGAGAAATTGAAGTTAGTTTCCAATGAGCGCGTATAGGTAATAACATAGTGAGCACATTATTTTATCTATGGATGAGCATAAAAAAATGCACATATGAACAAGAAATATGAATATGTTATGTACTGCAGTCAATAGAGAAACAAGAAACACAAACAAACATATACTACAAACAGATCAAGTGTCTAGAACCCAGTTGTAGTAATCTACTATGACTATGCAAAAGTGGTTTCATTGGTTATACTTTCGGAACCAAATCACCTCATGCAGTTGCATAAAGAATTTTTATGCATGTGTATACCATGCTCTTAGTAATTCAGCATCATAGACAGTGTCTCTTTCCATAGTCTTAAGACAGCTTCCTTGCAGTTGCAAAAACAAGTTGGCATACAATTTAATGTCAGACATGTCCAAAGTAGCAGTTATGAGTGGGGAAATGTTTTACATTGAATCACAATATATATGCAGTTGCAGAATTTCTATGCATGTGTATACCATGTTCTTGAAAATTTAGCATCATAGACAATGCATTTTCCCATAGAGTCTGATCAAGGCAGCCTCTTCGCAATTGCGAAAACAAAATGTCAGACATATCCAGCATAAAAGTTATGCATGGGGACATGTTTTACTTTGGTTTCATAGTATATCATCATCATCATAGTAATAATTGACCAAGTAACTCAATGTCATCCATAATTACCAAGACAACCGAGTGACTTCTACAAGATACATCCTAATACTAGCACTCACTCAAGCAGGAATGCAGTTCTGTATGGGTAAATAGTTTATTATTTAACTTCTGGTGTTGGGCAAAGGGGTACATTATGTGCCTTAACCTCGGCCAAAAAAAATGTTGAATTTACCATCTTTATTTGGCTTACTAGAGGGAAAAGGCCAACCAAAGAGATATACAATGGAGAAAGATACTCAAGCTAGTGGCTGGTCTTATTGGCTCAAAATCTTCAAGCACATAATACAATCATATACCATAATTAAAAATCCAAATCACAACTAATAATTCAGGACATGTGAAATTACAAATTCACAAATCCACTATCACAAATTCACAAGTAATGCGGTCATGCCTTACAATAGTAAGAAGTACTAATTGCAATTCTTATATCACAACTGACAAATTTATATCAGAAGTCAGGCTGTTCATAGCTTATACTTCTACACTAATATACAATGGCAATTATATAGACAAACATTCTATTGTTCAAACAGCTTGAATTCAATTGCATTAAAGTTGTAATTAGTAAGTAGACAACTATGATGCAAAGTAATTTTATATATTTTTTTTGAAAGTATGATACAAAGTAATGATCAAGAAGAATCCAAGATAATCTACCAGATAGGAAACAGAATAGGACGTAGGTTCGCAGACTTTTTGTCCCACTACAGATGCAAATATAACAAACATTTCCTAAAGTACAAATATAAGATCTCAAAGTATTATAAACTATAGCCAAATTGCCTAACGTACCAAGAACTTTAAAATATGTGAAAGCACTTATAGCAACTTTGTGCTGATGCAAATCAATTGGGAAGAAAACACCTCCCTCGGCTACCACTGTAAGTTCTATCCTTGCAGAAAATATGATAAACTGTTGTTTGGACATTACCAGAACTTATTCCTAGCCATTCCAAGCTCGAAGACAAAAAACTGAGAAAGGTCAACTCAAAACCCAACCACAACACCACAACAATATGGTTCAGAGTCCACCTCTTACCATACAAGTGAGTGCATGGAGTTCAGTATAACAAGCAAAAAGAAATCTACTATATGGGTGCAAATCAAGTAATCACCACACACACATCAGAAACTGTAACTGTCTTAAACCAAGCACTAATTTAGAGTTTATCACAAAGAACATAACCAATCCTACGATAAAACAAATTTAGAAACTTACGATAATGCCAAAACAGATTAATATAGAAACCAGATGACCGCATTTACCTGTTGACGAGCTGCGGCAAGTTTGAGCAGTTCATCTGCCTCTGAAAAAATTCATAAACCAATGGCCTAGAGGGTGATCTTTAGTGTTCCCTCTCCGATCACTGTTTTCTTCCGTCAGAGCTGATGCATCAATTAAAGAGTTAAGCAAGCTTACAAAAAAAGTCTTTCCATGAATATGAATAATTTTTAAAAAAATGAAAGCAGAATCACATCAATAACCAGAGGGTGGTAGCTCCAAACCTGCAGGAAGCCGAGGAACAACAACAGCAGGGTGATTCTGCACGCGAGCAAGAAAGAGCTCTGAAGGATCCGGAAAAAACAACTTCATCATATGATTCCACCACAACAGGCTTCTTGGTAGACTGAGGACCACTCTGTTCTAGAGGAATACAGTTTTAAATGGTGGAATCTGTTGAGAAGTTAAATACTTAATGAGATCCACCCTTTAGTCAGAGCACAAAGAAAACAGAGAGAATTTACTCACACGTCCAATTTCCTATCACATGCATCACTGTGGAAGTATAGTGAAATGGCAATCTCAAATTCACCCCAACCGCATTCAGACAATTCAAAAGGTGGAGAATCAACAACTCTGATAGGATTATTGAAGCTCGGGTGGAGTTGAAAAACAACACGCTTAACTACAACACTCAAATCCTCATTTGTCGCCCCACGAACATAGACTGTCCATTTATGTGATTGAGACCTAAATTATTATTTTTTTTTTTAACAAAATAAGTAAATAATTAAAAATTCAATTAGACAAGTTATCAAACACTAGGTAGGCAATAAGTGAAATCAAAATACACAAACTCACTCAGTTGCCTTCCGACCAAGCCAAAACGCAATGGTTCCATAAAACAATTGGCACGGAAATTTCAACATCCTTGACTCTTCGACTCGAATTCTTGACATAACCCATTGTTTAAAGTTAGAACAGAGTAGAAATAAACATGACTGACTTCCCTTAAAAAAAAAAAAAAAAAAAAAAAAAAAAAAAAAAAAAAAAAAAAAAAAACTATTCTTCAGTAAATCTTGAAAACAATTACTCTAAACCTTTTTCTCTCTCTCTTCCAGAGAATTTTCAGCTTTATTAAGCGGCGAGCCGCTGCCATCAGATAGATCAACCCCATCTTTTGGGGCAGAAGTTGGTACTTGAGTCATTGCAAATCGAAACAAAATTTATAGCCGAATTGCACGATGATCACAATGCCCGACACCTTCCAAAAGTAATAAAATCGATCAAAAACTTAGCTTCACCATTATCAGTTAATACAAGATACCCAAAATAATGAAATATAGCACTCATATACTATGAAGTACGAGTATTGTTATCATCTTCATTTTCGACAACCAATTTCAAATTTAATACATGTCACTGGATATATAAATTGAGACATAAACTTACCTAAATTATTAATCAAGAAAAAACAGAAATTAAAATGGCGAAATTCAAAAAAAATAAAAACGGAGTAATAAAATTATTACTCCCTTTAGCTTACTGATATGGTTTTCGTGCCAACAACAAGGGAGATTTGACCCTTCTGGATTGCTAAGATTGAAAGAAAATTCCTCACGAATTCCAAGCGACGAACCCTAATATCTTTCCGGGAAAAAAAAATTGGGTTTTAATCCGTTTTTTATTTTTTACTACCACCAGTTATTTTTTACGAGTATTTTATTTTATTTTTTTTAAAAAAAAAAACTGCTACTTCGTCCTCCCGAGTCCCTGGTATTTTTTTTTTTAATATTTTGTTTTTATGATTTGATATACATTTTTTTTCCGAGAGAGTCCAAGTTAATATCTGAGATTAAATATTTCATTTTATATTTATTTCACAATTTGCATAAGTTTTTGTGTCACTTTTGCGATTTTACTTTATTATTTTAAAAAATAAAAGAAAAACAATATATTGTGAAAGCAGATACATTTAAAAAATTTATGTTAGACATCAACTAGATTTTTTCTCATTTTATTTTTTTGGAAATATCATCATGTGAATCAAGATCATTGTCCAGGAATCCCTTGGATGCTGATTTTTGTTCCTCTGAATTCCTTCTTATCATATTGCTATATGAAACCTTTGATTTGCTCGGTGATTTTACCACCAGCGTGTTCTCCACGAAAGAGTCCATTTCCACATTCTCAGGCTGCAGTTCAACCCTAGTGGTATCCATGGGAGAATTCTCCGGCATTCTTTTAAATTTCTTATTCGATCTTTGCGCGCATTAGGTCCTCT